TAACGATAAACTGATGGTCAGCCCCATCTCCAGGACCGCAGTGGAGTCTCAAACTGATTCTGGCCCCAGGACTGGTTCAAGACCCCAGCATGGCCCTGGGAGTAACTGGTGGTCTGCTGACTGTCAGTCTCTGGACCACACTGGGTCAATACCAAGCTGTTGGTACTTAGTTTTCAACTTGCCAGTGCAAGAAGAGCCTGGGACCATGATCATGCGCTGACAAGTAAGAAGAGCACAAACAGAACCATATCCCTGATCCCAAAAATCACTTACTCTGCCATGCACCTGTGGCACGGCAGGAGATGCAACTGTTGGGATCAGGGGTTCAGATCCTACGGTGACTTTAAATGAATGTGAACCAGGGGCCACAGAACCATACTAAAGTAGCCATATAATTTGCCATGATCCTTCTGATACACTGTATAGCAAAGGGGATAACTCTTGGCTCATTTATATTAGATTTTTATTCTATTCACAGATCTGCTTGAAGCAGGTGCCTCAGAACTTGAGCAAGAGTTGTCTTAGAAGGGTGGATTGTGAAGTGGACATAAAATAGCTAATGGAAAAGCAAGGTGTAGAGCCCCTCCTTCCCCCCAAACATACACAGAGCAAAATTCAGAATCAGAAACCAGAGCTCCTGATTCCAAGTCCCAGGCCTAAAAGTACAAGACTGTTCCTTCCTTGTTCTTGTTTTGCATGTATGTGAAACCCTTTGCTGCTGAGGCAACAGTTACTATAGAAATTAGTAAAATAACTAGCAGCCAATTTCACAGGCTTTGAAGAGATCTTTAATACCAGCCAACCAGGCACTCATATTTAATAGTAAACTGTTGAATATTTAAGTCAGTAAAAAAATTTTGTAGAGTTTTTTTATAACTCTTTTTTTTGTAGAGTTATAAAAAAACCCCTGTTCGTTCTTTAAAAGGAGTGTTTAAAATTTTAGTGCCAAAAACCAAACCCAAAGGGTTTATGACCCAATCAAACTACCACTGGCTTAAACTGTGTCATTGCTTCCACTGTGCAGTCTCTGGGGAACAGACAGACTTTTTGTTTTCTTTCTGTACAACAACTTACACATGACTGCCTGTCCAACAAGAGCTCCCAGACACTACAGAGATTTTTAACATCACGTCAGTAACATACACAGGCCAATGGTAATAAACAAACAGGCCTAATAATCAAGACAAGCTAAACCAAAAGTAGTCTACCAAAGGACCACAAACATGTTTCAAATCAATAACAAACCCACCTTAAGTGTATATATATCCCACATGGCTGAATCTCTCCTCCAAGGTAGCCATGTTTCTTATCATTTGAAGTTATCTAGCAATGGTTAATAGTCCCAAACTGATTATCTTTTGCGGTATGGGGTGCATCAGCAGTCCCCAGGAAGACCGGTTTTTATACAAGGTAAAGCCTTAAAAACCTGCAGATAAGCGTGACGTTGTCCTTTTAAGACTAGTTAACATAATCAACTCTTGGGCAAAACCTGAAATAGTTCTGGTCTTACATTTTGATGCTGTTGGAACCTATGAGGGGATTCATAAGTACCCCACATATAATACTACAAAGTAATCCTAAATATTGGTCACAAACTGAATTGGTTTAATCCTGAATAGGGTTAAAATACAAAAGTGAATATTAGCCTAATTTATAAGGAGTAATTAAATATATTTGTCTTAATAATAACCTTCACAAAGACAATAAAAAGACTTTAAATGATGTTAGACTTCTAACTCTGTATTTGGGCACCTAAATAAATGGTGTTAAGTTGAAAAGTGCTGAGCAGTCAAGGATACAGTTACCAAAGTACAGGATCTTTTTCATTATAAAATTGATATGGCAGCTTGTGATACAGAGTCACTAGTTTCTGGATTATGCACAAAGGAGATTTTTTTTAAGAATGCACATTCTCTTTAAAACCAACTTTTTTGCACTGTTATAGCTAACATTGGTTAGAGGATTTGAAAGTAAACTTTCAGGGCATCTTTACTTGTCCTCCTGCGTGCTACTTGGCACAATCCAGCGGACTCTTAATTGAACCTGCTCCAACACATGCTCATTAGCATGTGTTGGAGCAGGCATTGGGCACATATATAAGTGCCCTTAGATTTGAAATACTATGTTGTATAGTTCATAAAGTGAGATATTGAAATTATATTTAGCTGTGAAGTTTAAAATTTAAAAAGAACAGACTACGTTAATTAACTCCAGCATGTTAAGCTATAGTTAATCAGTTCAGTTTGTCATTCCATAGTTTTGATCCTGTGTGTCATTAAGTTGATTTTTTTTCAAACTGCTTACAAATGTAAGAGGCCAACATTTAGACCTTTTTTCCTTCAGCTCTTGAAGTTGTCAAAAAATGGATCTTCCAAAAATAAAAGGGAAGGTCCTTGTATAGTGTCTGTCTTTCCTTCACAGAGAAACAGCTTGCCATCGTTTCCTTACAGCTGTTAGAGAGCCAGACTATTTCAGGTGTTATCATAATTATTTTGTTATAACGAAGACTTTAATATGGTTGTTACATGGTCTTGCCTCCAATGTAAGCTTTGTAATAGTTTATACTGTGGGTTGACTTGTATAGTTCAGTGGATCCTTCTTCTCACCTCCTTTTCCCACTCCCCACCCCCAACCTGTGCTTGTAATAAAATATTAATTTGCTAGATATGACTCAAATAACTGTGTTTCATGGCTTCAGGCTTTATTCAGTAAACACTGGTCCAAATAGGAGGAAGGGGGGTAGTAAAAGGAAGTGTTTTGCCTATCCTAATATTGCAAAATAATTAATATTGGAAAGGGGGAATAGTGGCAAAGAGACATTATATGTTTATGTATAGCACAACATGTATATACTATTCAACAGCTAAAATGAAGGAAAAGTACTTACTCCAAAGGCTGATAGTTATAAAGTATCTCTGGGTACAAGCAGTCAGCAGAGCATGATTTGATCTCCAGTGCTGAAATATTCATGGGACATGTAAAGTTTTTAATGATTTTTAAATGTGTTTTACCAATCTGAGATTTTGTGATTGACCAAGTCAAATCCTTATCCTGCATTCTTTTTATATTGAGATGTGCTAAGTCAGAGACTGTATTCAGTTGTCTGTATGTGTGTGGTGGGAGAGTGGACTTATCTTGGGTTTCTCTCAGGTAGTATTGTCTGCCTAATCATGAAAGTAGAAGAGATTTAATTATCTTTGGAGATTTTGTTCTTACATTTTGGTTTTTGCTCATAGGAAGCATACGATGGCTTATAAACTATTGACTGTTCAGCCATGCTTGAGTAAAATAGTATCAGTAATATATTATCCAACTGATGCAAAAGCAGAATTTTGGCAGGGGTGGAGAGGAGAAGGAGGAATGCACCTGATGGTCTACAGGGTTGTGAGGTTGTGGATAGGAGCTGTGAATCTGACTTAATCCTTTTTACTTTTTTCTGGGCTGAGATTCAATTTCTTCACCCTGTCTCCTGTTATAAATATTTTCAAACTCAGAATTTGCGGTGGACATTTGCCAAATGCCACACACCTACCTTTTCATGTTAATGTGTTTTGCTGGTTTGGCATAAGGCTTTTAGAGCTCACTACTTTTTCCTGTGGTTTTTATTTCTCTTCTCTGTTTTAGTGCTGCTCCCTCCCCCTGTGGTTCTGGCATTTTTAGCTTAATCTCACTACATTTCTCTGTGACTTGATTAAAACTTGTTCTTCCGTTCAGTGCTTTAATGCTTTCATTTTTTAAAACTGAGCATTCATTATAAGTTATTTGAGATTAAATTCAATGTTTTTGTAGTTTGTTTAGAAGTGAGAAATTTCGGATTTAGTACTTAATTTTTTACTCCTGGGGGCACCCCTCTGTAAGTGGGGAAAGCAGTGCGGGTGTCCCCAGGGTTTGAAGGGTCTAGTCCTGTGCATCATGGAAATTTCTTTGCAAGATTGTACTCCTCAAGCCCTGGGAGTACCTGTCCTGCTTTCCCCACTTACAGAGGGATGCCCTGGGGAATGTTGGGGTGGCTGTCTGTAAACAGGGAAATTCAGGGTTCCCCACTTGCAGAGATACACCCCCAGGATCTAACTATTCAGATTAAAGTGTGACCAAAATTTCTGATTTCCATGGCCAAGAGGTGCTGAAATCTTGAGGTATCAGCTAGGTATAGCTGACAATATTTTTGGCGAAAATCCTTTGAGAACAGCTTGAAATTTTGGAGCAATTAAAACCATATCCTCATGTAAATATGTTATTTGGATTAGAGTCAGTATTCTGCCTCCTTGGCTCATCTCCTAACTAGAACAGTAATTCCTCTTTTAAAAGGCCATAGTTTTCACCTTCGGAACTGCAAAAATTACGAAAAAACAAACAGATGACTTTCAGTGACTTTGTTTTACTAATTATTGCTTTGCAGGAAGGTGGCATCCACATCTTGTTGCTTCTGTGTGTTTATTAACTTACAAAATAAGAGTTTGCTATATTTATTTAGTTAGTTCCCAAAATTGTCCTTGGTGCTTATTAGAACAAAGACTTATTCCCTGCCCTGAAGCATTTACTGTTTAATTTTTAGGTGCAATGTAATTGGAGAGCGCAACATGAAGTAATGTGAAAGGGGTGCTATAGTAGAGGAGGACTTGCATTCATAATATCTTTTAATAGATCAATAGGAATTTAACCAACAGTGTTTAATATTTTATAATTATTGTAGTACCTTGGATCCTTAGTCCCAGACCAGAATCTGTTGTGCCAGGATCTATATAACAGAGGGCAAAGACAGACCCTGTACCCCCCCCCCCCTCCCAAATTGATGATAATTGTTATCATAATATGTATAGAAATAGATGCTGCTTGCAGATGTCAAAAAACCAAACAAACAACACATTGTGCTTTACTGGAAGAAGCAGCGCATTAGTTTGCCCCAGCATCACAGTGTCTGTATAGATCAGGCACTTCAGCAGGTCAATTTTTTTCGTTAAATGCCATCCTAATACTTTTTATTTTTCTTTTTTCACTAGAAAGAAGAATACATATGCAAAAATGAAGTGAACCATTTCCTGTGCTTACCACATTGTATAGGTATTTGTACCAGCGGTTTAAAAATTTGTACTTGTCAACTTTGCCAAATTGGTTTTTGCTGCACGTCTGACAAGATGAACAAGCCAGGACGGAGCTTTTTGTTGTGCTGGAACCGTTGCCCAATTTAAGTTAAAAATAAACCTGCATGCTGATTCCCTGACGAAATGAAAGAGGTGATATTCTGGTCACCCAAAGAGGTGACAGATTGGCTGATGGAGAACGCTATGCCAGAATATTGTGAGCCATTGGGAAGTTTCACCGGGCAGGACTTGATCAATTTAACTAAGGAGGATTTTAAGAAGCCACCTTTGTCACGTGTGTCTTCTGACAACGGGCAGCGGTTATTAGACATGATAGAGACTTTAAAAATGGAGCACCACATTGAGGCACACAAAAATGGGCATGCCAATGGGCACCTTAGTGTCAGCATGGATGTTGTCACCGGTGAAAATGGTTTCAGCAGTAAAATCAAACTGAACGGGATGCCAAATGGATATAGAAAGGAAATGATAAAGATCCGTATGCCAGAACCAGAGCGTTCCCAGTATCCTATGGAATGGGGGAAGACTTTCCTGGCTTTTCTTTATGCACTTTGCTGTTTCATCTTTACCACAGTGACAATCTCAGTTGTCCATGAACGAGTGCCTCCCAAGGAGGTGCAGCCTCCCCTACCAGATGCATTTTTTGACCATTTTAACCGCGTTCAATGGGCCTTCTCTATTTGTGAAATTAACGGCATGATCCTTGTAGGACTCTGGTTAATTCAGTGGCTGCTCTTAAAATACAAGTAAGTAAATACTTTGAAAACTGAGGCATTGCATAAATATAAGTGCTTTCTGGCAGGCTGAGACTTGAATTTAAAATTGAAATCTGTTTAACTGTGGGGTGGGGTTTTGGGATAGTTGGGGAGGGGTGTTTAGGTGTTAACTTCTAGAAATAACAGTTGGTCTTATCACCTTTAAAAATCCATGTATAATTATACACATGTTGAAGTATATGTGGATTTTTTCTACAGAATTGGACAAAGTCAAACCTAAATGCCAAATTAGATGCTGAAAAATGTGTGGACTTTACTTAACTGCAGAATTAACTTGAGCTATAACATGAGAGTTGCCCCTAATGTAAATCATTTTTATATAGAAAAAACCCTTAACCTGGATCTTGGTGCTTTAATTCAATTTGGCTAGCCCATTAGGGTATGTATAAGGTAGAGCTCAACTTTAGTTGCCAGCCTGACATCTTTGTGAAACGCAAGTGTTGTATTTTGCATTGTGCTTGCTGTCACTTAAGCTAGGCTAATTTCATAAATATTATCATTTTTCTACCTTAAGGTAAATAGTGCTTTTAAAAGTGCACAAAAATAAGCAAAATATATCATCCCAGCTCTTAAGAATTTGAAGCTCATAAAAGGCCTGCATGATACTATGTGAAAAAAGCCATGTGAATACTTCTGGGATCTCTGCATTTTGGTTAACTGATTTTTATTTGTTTTTTTACTCAATGTAAAGATGGGAGAGAAGATCTAATGTATACTACCAGTAGATGATTTAGTTTGGTACCCGATTAGTTTAATCTCTTGTTAAACTTTGTGAGCAAAGTGTTTAGGGCATTGTCATAATTTATTTACAAAATAGATGGACTACCAGGAATAAGTCTTAATTCTGCCATTGACCAAACAGCGCCACAATATTCTTGTGATTTCTTTTTTAAAGAACTTAAGGGACTGTGCTGAGCTCATATTTTCTTTCTTTTCTTCTTTTTTTTGGAGGGAGGAGTCAGGGTGTTGGTGGAGTTAAGGTACAGAATGTTTGCACATATCTCTGCATGAGCATCCACTTTTTGGAAGTCCCTACCTAAAAGTTGGGGGGAGAGAGTGCCTTCCATTAGGGACTTGCCAACAGCTCCCATGCTTGTTGCTCCCCAGGATCAATCCTTATTTATTGGTTATTCCCCTTGACCATCCAGGAACCTAACTCTTCATGAAAAAGTGCAAACCTATTCTAGTGGTAGAATTTATGCTAGTCTTTTCCCTCAAAAGTTGGTAGACCCAGAGTGGTCATCATGATAGAAAAAGTGGGTATTCAGAAACATACAGCCTACCTTTTAATGGCTACTGGAAATTCCTTAATGGAAGGAAAATATATTAATCACCATTTAAATACATAGGCTATATTGAGACTTTCATTTGTAGACCAGAATGAAAAAATGGAATTTGAAGATGTGTATTTCCCCCCCTTTTCAAAAGCAAAATAAAATCTTGTAATGATTTTCATTTAAACTTTTTTTAAGTTAAGCTTTCTTAGGGAGCCTTTTGAAACATCCATGGAGTTTCAAATGCTGATACACTTTCAACCCTCTCTGACCTTTTGTGAGTTGTCTTCCCTGTTGGTAGTGCTAAAACATTCATTTTAATTTTGAAAAGCCTTCATAATGATTTAATTGGCAAAGCACTCTTGTCACACTGTATGATTTTATATACCATCTCATTGTCTGAGAATTCAAAACTGCATTATATATCTAGGGAAAGGAAGGCATGTACAGTTCACCATTATGCTCTATAATTTGCTCTGACACAGTTTATTGCTGTTATTTGGGAATTTGCTATCTTTACTTCTATATACATGTGAAAGAAAGTATAGGAAGGAGGCTTAATGCAGTCATGCTCTCCCACTTTCTTTGTGGATGTAAAGTTCTGGTTCAAAATAATTCCATTTATTTGTATGCAACTTTCTAATGAAGTTATTTCTTGATTACACTTGTCATATAAATGAAAAGACAAAGAGCCTTACTACAGTTTGTTGCGAATTTTTGTTTGTTTGTTTGTTTTTGAGCATGTGGATACAGTGTGGAAAGGTGCCTATGTTGCCCTTTTACCAAGAAGGCTAATAGCATAGTGGGCTGCATTAGTAGTAGCATTGCAAGCACATCTAGGGAAGTAATTATTTTGCTCTATTCTGCACCCGTGAGGCCACATCAGAAGTACTGTGTCCAGTTTTGGGTACCCCACTACAGAAGGGATGTGGACAAGTAGGAGACAGTCCAGCCAATGAAAAAGGTTTGGAGGCTGGGGGACATGACTTGTGAAGAAAGACTGAGGGAAGTGGGGACAGGTATATGTGTGAAGCAAGTCTCCTCCAACACACTGTAATTAATCTGACGCGCTGTAATTACTGTGCCCCAGCAGACTCCAGCATCAGATGTATCGGCATACCTGCACTGAAAAATGGCGGTGGGAGCGCTTTAACTAAAGTTTATTCAATGTGCTTTAGTTAAAGTGCCCCACGGCCATAAATCAGCATGGGGATGCTGATACACATGACACTTCAGGTGCTTTAATTAGAGCAGCTCTCCCCCAACTCCTGAAGCACGTGTATAAGTGCCCTGGGTTTATTTAGTATGCAGAAGAGAAGCCTGAGTGGGGATTTGACAGTAGCCTTTAACTATCTACAGGGTGGTTCAAAGAGGATGGAACTGGACTGTTCTCAGGAGTGGCAGATGACAGAGGAAGGACCAATGGTCTCAAGTTGCAGCAAGGGAGGTTTAGGGTAACACTGAAACAGGTTACCTAAAGAGGTAGTGGAATACCTGTCCTTTAATGTTGTTAAGGCCTGGCTCAACAAAGCCCTGGTCGGAATGATCTAGCTGGGGATGGTCTTGCTTTGAGCAGGGGATTGGACTAGGCGACCTCCTGAGGTCCCTTCCAACCCTAATTTTCTATGATTCTGTATGCATGACAAATCTGATATTTTTCCATAGCAGTATCCATTGAAATCATTTATAAGCCCTGTGTTCCTTTGTGATGACATTAAATTTGGCATGATCACAGCCCTTCTTCTGTTCTTTCCTCTTCTACCTCACTAAAATGATTAGTAATGGAAATATCCATCCCACTCTGAACTTAGATATACAAGCATACCTCGTTTTATTGCGCTTCGCTTTATTGCGCTTCGCAGATACTGCGTTTTTTACTAATTGAAGGTTTGTGGCAACCCTGCATTGAGCAAGTCTATTGGCGCCATTTTTCCATTGGTTAGCATTTTTTAGCAATAAAGTATTTTTTTAATTAAGGTATGTACATTGTTTTTTTAGACATAATGCTATTCCACACTTAATAGACTGCAGTATAGTGTAAACATAACTTTTATATGGACTGGGAAACCAAAAAATTCGTGTGACTGGCTTTATTGCGATATTCACTTTATTGCGGTGGTTTGGAACCGAACCCGCAATATCTCCAAGGTATGCCTGTATTGCTGTCTATTTGATAAAGAATCCCATCTTTGCACATGTTCTTAGAGAGGTTTTTTTCTCTTAAAAAATAAAAGAAGTGTGTCAGGGGGCGAAGAAGGGAGAGGGGAAGAAAGAAGAAAACTTAGCTGGGTAAGATGCTTACACCAATTCCCATACATTGTGGTGCTGTCAGTAGGTCACTGGACTAATCCTTGTCAAGTGTGGATGCAGCCACTAGTAGTTCTGCCAAGGGGAGAGCCCCACTGCATGCTGTGTTCTTCACTTTATATTCTTTTCTTCATCAAAATCTGCCAGAGCCAAAAACTATAATTATTTGAGCTCCATCTTTTTAAGCAGCCTGTCCAGCTTGGATACAAAGCTGATGCAAGACTGGAATAATTTGTGTGAACTAACACTTCATCCTGCTCTGGGTTCAAACAATGGAAAGAAGGTAAAGAGATGTCGAAAGTGCCATCACTGACAATGTCCAGTCCTCCTGTCTTACTGTAAGAGAAACCACTAGTACGTGCATCCTCAGTGCTGCCACCTCTATAGCTGAATGCCTGCATGCTTTCAGTTCCAGTACTGATGACTGTAGCTGCTTTTTCTACTCCCCAAACTCAGGTGGTGAAATCTGCATCTTGTGCTAGCAAAAAATGAATAACTCAGCATAAGTTTTATTTCAAAACTAAAGAGAGGTTCCAGAGAGAAGACAAGGGACAAAGAAAAAAACCTCAAAGTGGTCTGCCAGAATGAGAGATCTGGCATCTGTCTCTATGCTGATGGCCATAGTGAAATCAAGCAAGTATCCCAGATATAATATAGGCCCTTGAGAGATATTACAGTTAGTTGCGATTAACCTGTTAATTTTGCCGTAAATAGTAATCCTGCCACATGTTCAAGAAATTATTGGCACAGCAAAGCAGGAAACCAGCAGCAAAAATATTCCACAAAAGATCTCTACCATTTTTCAGGCTGGTTTCCATCGTGCCTTAAATTGAATGTGTGGCAGACTAACCAGAGCTAATAAGATGGTAATAATATTAACAGGTCATGGAAAACAGGGCATTCATATCCATTGTTCAGGGCAAATCCCTGCAGCAGACAGAGCAGTATACGTAATATTCACTCTCTCTAGTCTCTCACTTGGGCCTCCATAGGGAAGTATGGAAAAAAACAGTCTTATTGTAGCACAAATGATGAGTCTTAAAGTAATGATTGTCTTTAGTTTGGTGAGTACAGTTCCTTGAAGATAGGTTTCATATTGCTGAGTATGCAACACAGAGTTCAACACAGACATGTCTGGGGCTCTAAACAAGATGGAAATATGATGATGCTTGCCAGATTTCTCCTGTAAACTGCTCCACTCTGAGTCAGCAGAGCAATGGATGATGATGATGAAGCAAGTGTCACCACACTTATGTCAGAAGCATGAGGGCCAGAAACCCAGGAACAGGTAGAATGGTCAATGTCCATAAGACCTGGGGCCACCCAAAGGAGGGCTGTAAGGGATTCATAGGTGATGTGGTCGGCTGTCTGAACTTGAGCACCACAACT